CCCAAGCCACAGGAGCAGCCGGAGCAGCCGGAGCAGCATGGTCCAGCTCCGGCAGCTGCTCCGCGCCCTGACTTTGATGAAGTTCCCCTGCTGCGTGCTGGAGGTGCTCCTGTGCGCGCTGGCGGCGGCGGCGCGCGGCCAGGAGATGTACGCCCCGCACTCCATCCGGATCGAGGGGGACGTCACCCTCGGGGGGCTGTTCCCAGTGCACGCCAAGGGTCCCAGCGGAGTGCCCTGCGGCGACATCAAGAGGGAGAACGGGATCCACAGGCTGGAAGCGATGCTCTACGCCCTGGACCAGATCAACAGCGATCCCAACCTGCTGCCCAACGTGACACTGGGCGCGCGGATCCTGGACACTTGTTCCAGGGACACTTACGCGCTGGAACAGTCACTCACTTTCGTCCAGGCGCTCATCCAGAAGGACACCTCCGACGTGCGCTGCACCAACGGCGAGCCCCCGGTGTTCGTCAAGCCGGAGAAAGTAGTTGGAGTGATTGGGGCTTCGGGGAGTTCCGTCTCCATCATGGTAGCCAACATCCTGAGGCTTTTCCAGGTAGGGGGGCGCTCCCTCGGGGGCAGAGCGCGCCGTTCCTCCCCGAGCTGCTGATCCCCAGAAAAGCTGGTTTGGACTCCAGGGGTGCGGGGTCAGGTCAGCCTCCGCGCATCTCCACCCGGAGATCCTGCCGACCCCCTTCCACCCACCCGAGGAGGCACCCTCCCTGCCCGGTTCCTTCCCCTCCACCTCTCCCGTCTGCGCTTCACTCCATCCGGCTTGACATCCTGGATTTATGGCCCCATTTACAAGAAGCAATCTGCGAAAAACAAGGCGATGATTTAAATGGGTTTGCATTAGAGTGAAATATGCTCCGAAAACAGGCTGGTAAAGTGCCGGCCTCCCGTGCGAGCGGGGTAGGCGCGTGGAGTGTGAAAGATGAGAGGACGCCTGGAACCCGGGCATTTCTCAACTCCCCGGCTTCCCGGCCCTAGCCGCCCTGCGAGTCCCAGCGGCCTCGAGAAGAGCTAGGGAGGCACTACTTCACCGGGCCAGCCTGTGGGTGCTCATTGCCCACCTCTAGCGGGTTGGGTTTCCCGACCTGTAGCCTGTCTCCCAGGCGACACTCCCCAAGTGGGGAGAGGCCACCCTCAGACGTGACCCCCCGGCGATTTGTGGGGTGCCAACGTTGGCATCGTCTAAATGGCATTTGCAGCCCGGCCACTGGCAGGAGCTGGGCGATCAGCTTTCCACTCCTGCCACTTCAGAGCCAGGATGAGCTCATGCTAACTGCGAAACAGAATCGCTTTCGCTGCCTCATCCCTCCGCCCGCCCTTTCCCAAGACCTCCCTCCGCCGGCCCCCTCCCCGCGCGCCCCCATCCCCAGTCCTCCGCTCCCAGGATGATTCACGGAGCCAGGCGAGAAGGACCGGGAGCGAGGCAGCGAGTGGGGCGCACCGAGCCAGGCCCGCGATCGCTGGGCTCCGGGCTCCAGGCGCCAGAGGGCAACCACGAAAGGGGAGGAAGGTGGTTGGGGCCCCTGAGCGGTGGGTTCCACCGCAGCTCCCTGGCCAGCGCTCCCGAAGCTCCCATGCTGCCTTGGGTATACACGGATGGCTTTGGGGTGAAGAAATTGAGGGTCTGAGACTGCCGGTTACTCTCCTTGTCTCTCTCTGTTTCTCGCTGAGTATCTTTCTCTCCTTTCTCCCTGATTTGTTTTCTTTCTCTATTTTTTACCCTCCCTTTCAGTTTCTGCCTCTCTTCTCCCTCTCCCCCCACCTCCGAGTTTTGTGTCCATCGCTGTCTTGAGGTGATCCTCTCCCTGCCCAGACCCACTAATCCCCCTCCAGAGGTTCCGGTGACTCTGGTACCCTTTGGGCCCCTGTGAAAGAATTGGCTCCCTCTCCCGGGCTTTTCCTCAGGATGTTGGGTTTCTGGAGGGGACTCTTTGTGAGATTCAAGCTGTCACCACATCAGCTCCGGGGAGTGTGAAGTTTGTGTTTGTGCCAGAAGGAGGGGTGCCTTGCAAGGCTGCAGCCTGCTTTGGCATCTCTGAGGTCTGAGCCTCTCTAACCCCTCCTGAGTAGGGATCCTGAAGATCCCTAGATGTTTGCAAACCCAGAAGTGCTTTGGGGGCAGCCTGCACTCTGAGTTGATGCTTTTAGGAAGAGCTTGAGTTGTTGAAGGCAAAACCCAGAAGCCACTGCTGCCTCCATCCCTGAGCTTCAGGCTAGACAACTTGAGGGGGCAGTACCCTGGGAGAGGATGCAGTCAGATCACCAGGGAATCCCCGGGCAATTCACAGGTTTTGTCCAGAGCCCCAGGGGTTGAAGGTGTGTTTGGTGTTTCGCATATTTAAACTATGTTGCTGCCTGTTTCTGTCTTCACTGGGAGGCAGCCCTGCAGATGGGCCTGTCAGACAAAAAGAGTGAAATGTTCAAGTCCAGAGAGAGGCTGCAGACTCAGTGGAAGGACTCTTGCTGAGCAAGGTTCCAGGGGGAGCTGATTCCTCTTCTGGTGTGTGACTCTGAGGCACTTGTGAGGAAAGAAGCAGCCTGCCTTGCATTGAGTTCCTCCATCCCCTGGGCTGGGAAAGAAAGGAGCCGGATGCCAGTGAGAGCAGTGTGGGTTGGGAGCAGAGCCATTCAGAGAAAACACTGTCATTTTCCTCTAATTTGCAAATTGCAGTTATTCATGTTGGATTGAGCAGCTGAGGGGGAAAGGGGCTCCCAGTTTCACCTGCATTTATTGAGGAGGCTGGTAGGAGGAGGAATGCATCAACTTGTAACGTGTGCTGCAAGCTAGATGTAACTGTCTGTGTGTGCACCCTGGTTTAACAGTGCCCATTTGGAATATATAGCAGCTTTTTTTTTTTTTGCATGTGATCTTAGAGGCTCCTGGCATGCAATCCAACCCTCAACTTCCAGACCGTGTAAACTTGCAAAATGAATAGAGAGAATAGTGGTATCCAGACCCATTGTTCAAAGGCACAGCCAATTTAGGGAGAGAGGAAAAGAACGGGAGGTGAATCTTCTCTGGGATTGCTGGGTTCAGCTCAATTAAGATTGTCCTATAAAAACTAAACTCCTCTAAATGATTGAATTCTAGTTCTCTTTTCCCCAGTCCCTGTGGGTTGCTGTGGGGACCATGCCAGACCTATCATTTAAGACAGAAATGTATGATGAGAGAAGCTTCTAGGCTTTAGGGAAGGAATACCTAGTGACTCAAATGTGGGTTGCTAAGCGCTGGGGCGCAGGAGGGAGTAATGAGATAGTAATAGATGTGACAAATGCTGCTGTTGCCAGCAAAGCCTGGAATGAAGCTCCTCTCTGACAGTTAGGACCTGGACGAGAATGACTGCTCAGATGTAGACAGTGTCTATGACTTCAAATCCTCACTTGCCTGCTGGCGTACCGGACCGAAGATGTAAGCTGAGCAAGTCTCTCTCTCTCCCTCTCCTCTATCTGCACACTGAATTGGTTAGTAAGTGACATGTCTGAGGGCAGGATTCATATCCAGTGGGTCTTACACATCCAGGAATTTGAGGCTAATGAAATTAGTGTGTGGCCAGGCTCTGCCAACTATAATTAAGTCACTGTTACTGCCCTGCAATGCATTTTCAGCCTCAAAGAAGCATCGTGGAGGAATTTCTGGAGATTTGTTTCTGAGCCTGTACAAAATAATACTCTCTGATGCTAAGAAAGATTAAATGCAAATTAATATTGACGATGAGTAACATATTTTGAAAATAATCACCGAGTGGGGATGGCTAAAAGTAGAGAGCTTATGTAATACAGTGCCCAGAGGCTAAATCCCCTGACCACTGTTTCATGGGCTATAAGTAAGATCTATTATAGTGGAAAGTAATGGGAATGTGTTTATTCAAGGCTTCTCTGCTATTGACTTGAGAGCAAACACTCTGAGAGTGTAAATTACTCCTGCTACATCCTGGGCCTGAACGAGCCATATTTCATGTGTAGTGTCATCGTCTGAGCTGTAGACTTGGAATTGAATAGCATCTGTTTTCAGTTTTGTTCCCTCAACAGCAACGCAATGGAAAAAGTATCCGCTTGACTGCTGGGGGATGTTGACAATCTAAACCTGTGGCCCTTATACCATAAGTGAAATACATTTGTATATTTGTCAATGTTTCCTTTTTGTCCATTGAACCTTCAATATTATCTCAAACTTTTAGGGTAACATTATACCTAGTGTTCTTTCTTCCTGTTTTCTTCTTATCTATCATCTATTTATCTTATGTAATTGGATAGAATTGGGTACCTGGTATGCTATTATTATAGTGGTTGTTGTACTTTAACTTACTCTTTTTAAAATTTCATAAATATAGGTGTCACTGCCATTTGGAATAGTTTCTATAACAATCTCTGCCTCCACATTTACTGTTTCAGGAAATTTACCTAACAGATGGCGAGTGGGCAATTTTTAAAGGGGCATTTTTTAAAAGAGCAGAGAGGGAAGGAAGAGAGATAGGCATGTACTATATTTGAAGAGACCTTCACGTGTATTTTATGTGTACATACTCATTCAGTCAGGATGTCTTTAGACATCTTCCCTTCAAGCATCACTGAAATAGTGGATGCCTTTAATTCAACTTTATAAGACATCTCTTTGTGTCCATAGTTTCGCTTGGAGAAAGCTTGCTCTTGTCAAAACCCCATAACCGTGTATTTCCAGCTTCCATTTTGAACATTTGAGTGAGTTTAGAGGAGCATTTTAAGGATACATATTCACATCTTTGTAAATATTAGTCTAGCTGATTTCCCATATTCAGACTTTTCCCTTATTATTTTACTCATGTGCTCCTTCATGATATATATATTATATATATATAATATATATATTAAGGCTAGTGATGAGGAAAAGAAACTCTTAAATCAACTTACTGCATGGTTATGACCCGGGCAGGGAGTAAGAATGGCGGATTTATAGTAGCATGCATAGCTCTCATTATTCAGTGCCCTATCCCTTTCATCTTGTACAAACACCAGGCTTTTCTTTTGGAAAACTGCAAACAGTGGCATTCTGCCTCCTCCAAGGCCCCAGGGATGACTGGTTCAGATGTAGGCATCTGACTTTGGCTCCGCCTATCAGAATCCTCCCCAAGATTTTCTGTCAAAGAAAAATTGACAACTTGTCTTTTCTTCCCAGAACTTCCAAGCTGGGGAGACTTTCTGTAGAAAAAAGGCATGCCGCTGATTAAGGCTAAGTGATGGAGAGAGGCAGAGCCTTGATGGCATTCTGGAACTCCCAAACCCAACCCACTCATAACTGCATCCCTAAATTTCCAATACTTGTGGGGTGTTTGTTTGTTTGTTTTTAAGATTTCCTTTCAGCCATGTTGAAAGCAACTGAAAGTACCATAGCTACAACAGCCAATTTCCTGTCTAATTCCTGATGTTATGTAAGGTCTGCTGACTGGAGATCAAGTGACAAATCATATCTGACAGCCCTCGTCGGTTTTGCTCAGTGGTTAGAGTCTCGGCCCTTGGAATGAAGGGTTGTGGGTTTGATTCTGGTGAAGGGCACATACTTTGGTTGCA